GATTCATTCCTGCTGAGCCTCCATGCCCTGCAGCACTGATGAGTTTCCCAGGGCATTTCCCAGCACACTCAGCTATGTAAAAGTAATGAGCATTCCCAATAAACTGGGTCACCACGTGCCACATACTGGGTCACAGTCATGTGCAGTGGATAAAATACAGCAGTGCTGGTGGCTGTTTCCATTATCACAGCCAGGGTTGGGGCTGGCACGTGGCATTGTGGCAGGTCAGAGCGTTCACTGCAGTTATTGGAAGCTATTTTGTGTGGGTCAAGAGAAGATAAATCTTGTTAGGTGCAGAAATATGGTTAAAATACAGTGTTGAAGCCCTTTAAGAGCCCTGGAGGGAGGAGGCTGTTGGAGGAGCTCAGGGATCTGAGGTTCTGCCAAGGGGGGTTGGTAGAACCTTGCAGAAGGAAGCCAAGACAAACCATGGCAGAGGTGTGATGGCAAAGGAATGCTGCCTAAATGGAGGAGATTCTTTTTCACAAATAGTGCTGGAGAACTGCTTAAAATTGGCCTGTCCTAATAATTAAAAATAACTTATTTCCCTTGAGCTGTCTCCAGCCCCTTTGATGTTCCCTCTGTCCTTCAGCCTTTCCCCTGTTACTGTCATCTCCTGCCTCTCCTGCCATGTCATTTCCTCTCCTTCTCTCTTTTGTCTTTTCCTTCTTCACAGTTCACTCCCTTCTCACCCCCTGTACTTTACAGCTTGTACACATTCTCTTTTGTGCCTTGTTTTTTCCCTCTCCTTTGCCCTCTCCAACCTCTTCCCCCTGCTGTGTTCATGCAGCTCTTCTCTTCCACCAGCATTTTCATTATCCTTGGAGCAGCTGTTTTGCTTTTAACATCCTTCTTCCAGCAACTGTTTTCCTAATTCCTGACCCATGTGAGGATATTTTTTTCCCCCAAGTTCATGGAATCCTTCCCTATCTGTCCAGCTGAGCCCAAGCCAGGTGGAATCAAGAGCTTGGCCTTGGAGCTCTGGAGCATGGTTTGCATGACCATGGGTCAGAAAAGGATTTTGGTGTGGGGAGAAGAGCTGCAGGAAGGTGTGGGGCATCTGTGTGTCAGGATGGGACACTGTGGCCAAGTCCTGAATCCAAGAAAGGGGTGGGTGAAGGAGGGAACCTGAATGGAACGAGGGCAGGAAGGGTGGTGACAGCAGGAAGGTGAAGGTTACACGAGGCTGGATGAAATGGGAAGTGGTTGTGGCAGAAAGGGGAGAGTAGGATGGCTGGTGTTGAAAGGGTTGGGAGAAGACAATCCTGAAGAACCTACTGGGTTTAACACCTGGAGGGAATATAAATAATGTCTTAATAATTCTGCTTTGGCAGTTAAGATGAAGTTTGTGTAATCCGAGTAAATGAATGTTTTGGGGCTCCCTGACCCCACTTCAGGGGGGAATTGGGGTCATGTTGGCCATGGTCTGTTTGAGGCAGTGCTCTGCCATCCCCATCTGGTGTTTCTCAAGCCCTGTAACACGTAATTAATGTTTAAAAAAAATGAGCTACCAAAAAAACACATGATAAATGCGCTGCTTTGGTGTGCAGCCAGCTGGACTCTCCACGTCAGTTTAGGGGAGGAGGTGATCACTGGAAGTAAAATACTCATCATACAAGTGTGAATTATTTTGCAGATCCTTTTCAAGCAAGAAAGGAACTGATACAAGTTTGTAACTTTGGGCATTTGATATTTAATACAGGAACCATAACACCTTGGTTTCTCAGCATGCAGTCACTCAGCTTGTCAAAACTGTGTTCTCAGCCCTTAAAAATTACATGAACAGGTGCTTTGAACACTCCTCTTGATCTAGGTGTTAGTTTCCCATCCTTTGTAATCCACTTCTTGCTTTAGGGTTGCTTATAGGCCTTGCCTACTTAGCATTCACCATCCAGTGATTTAAATTGAATCAGACTTTAAAGCAAGGAATTTTTCAGCTTCCAACTTTGTAAACATCATTTGACAAACCCGATAGCTGAAATGAAGGTTTAAAAGTTTTGAAAGTCTTAATTTAGTGTTTACAGTGTTTAGTGCAATGGGATGACAAAGTTCAAATTGAAACTACGGGTAGAAAAATTATGTCTCAAATTGTATCAGACACAAATAAATGTTTGCTGATGGCAACATCCCTACCTTTGGAACCACATGGTGTTCCCTGGTGATTTCATTTACTGTAATACAGTTTCTAGATAAAATTACATGTTTAATTCAAGGATTTTGTCTATGGTAAGGGATGGCTGGAACTTGTTCAAGCAAGTTATTTAAGGCAAGGTTATTAGATCTGTTGAAAGTGAAGCTTTTATTGAAGAGAGCACACCTTTTCCAATGAAAAGTTCATTTCCAGGCTGTGCAAGTTCTTTTTTTTGTTTTTGTTCTTTGGATGTAGTTTTTGGCTTACCCAGTCAAGCAAAAGGAGGAGAGACCAAAACCACCTCAGAATTATGATTAGCACAGAGAGTGGTTTTTTCAGATGCTGAGCGAGGTCTGGACATGGTCTCCTTTATATTAGAAGAGAATCCTAAGCAGTGGAGCTGGTGATGCATCCATCCCTCTTCCTGGAACCCGGAGCAATTAATAAAGTTAATAATCAATAAGGTGAAATAATTGGAAAGGGACCTTCCCCGGAGCATTAGTGGGAGTATTAAAGGAATTCACCAAATACAGGGGAGAAGGAACAGGGTTTGAACCAGTTTGGGGTGAGCCCCATCAACACCAACCTCCATCCCAGAGGCTTTTCCATTCAGCTCTGACATCAACCTGGTCTCATTCCCAAGGGTGGAGCAGGAATTGGAAAGTTTTACAGGGTGAGAAAAGTGTTTCCCACCCAACTCTGTAAGTGAGAGGAGCCCAATTCCCAGCCCAATTCCCGGTGCCAGGCTTCACATGCAGCACCAGCTTTTGGCAGCCTCTCTGTGATTCGAAGATAAAGAAAATGTCACGGGGAATAAATAACATCAAGATGAGGTTCTGGCGCAAGTTGTGTTTCTGAGAACATCAGAATGCCTCTCCTTTGGTTGCTTTCCCAAAATCTTCCTTGTTTTACTGGTTTAGCTTCAGATCCACCCATTAAGCATTGCATTTATCCTGCTGGTTAAGGCCCAGTAAGTCCAGCACAAGGATCACGAATCATGGAATTGTTGAGATTTGAAAAGACCTCTAAGACAGTCAAATTCAACCATGATTTACATGAAGAGCATTAAATCGATTGGGTTGTCACTGCATGTGTGTCCCAAAATCTGGTGGTGATCCTTGATAAGTATCATGTGTGTCCCTTTTTCCATGACATAACTCTTCAGATTCCTAGAAGAAGTTAATTGGCCTCTCATTGAAAGAGACTTTATTTTTGTGTCTATACACCTATTGTGTAGGAAATCAGAGTAATTTGGTTTCTGTTACTGGAACCTGATATCAAGGAATGGCTGTTAAAAGAACTTTATTCTATGAAATGCACAAGTTGCAATCCCCAGATAAATAGGATTGTTGAAAAGAAATCACTGCCTTTATTATTACTTTACCCAGTGCTATTCTCTAGGGGAATTAATTATATTTTAACTGGCTGGTAGGAAGAATTCTGTAAGGAATTTGGAGGTATCCATTAAAGCTTAAACACATGTATTAGGGCTTGATACTTGAAATAACAGCCCAGCTTTCTCATCTCTCCACGTGTCACACCTCGTTTTGACTGGGAAAGGAAATTACTGGTGGTAATTTCAGGTTGAAAATTAAAAGCCAGTGCTGAGCCAGCAGTGCGTGGGGACCCCACAGCCTGATGTTTTCATTCCTTGATACCATCCTTGACCACCCTGGAGCCTGCTGTGGTCCAAGGGCTGGGTGTTGCAGGTGGAGAGCCAGAAAGCCTTCATCATGTCCAAAGCCTCGGGCATGTTTCATCTGAGCTCCCACGAGCTCCAGAGAGGCCACAGCATCTCCTGTGTGCCGTGTCCTCAGTCATCTTGTCCTTCCCAAGTTCAAAAATGCGATTTATTTGGCAATTTTCTGTGCTAAGGTGCTCCAGGGCAGTGGTGCTTTCAGGATAGAACTGCTCCCACCTGCCTCGCCGGGATATTTTTGGATAGTCGGTGACATTTGAAAGGAAAACCGAGTGAATGGGAGCTGGAGAAAAGCTTTGTGCCCTGGCAGAGCCTCATCCCAAATGGGATGTGCTCAAGGCTGGAGCCAGCCAGGGTGCAGGAGGAGCTGGAGTGGTGCCAGAGCAGCTTCCCGAGGGATTTACAAGCAGAGAGGGATTTTTGAGGGCCTTTTTTATATTGCAGAAGAAAACAGGAAAGTTGGCAGCTTGGCCTGAGCCGATATCACTGTTTTTCTGCTTATTTTAAATAGTGGGCAGAATGTAGCAGGTTCTAGCAGAGTTTGCTGAGCTGGAAAAATCAAGGAAAAGCTGGGAAAAGAGGAAATTTTCCTTTTTTTTTTTTTTGTTTTTCCAAATGAATTGATTTTTTTGAATGAAGAGCAGGATCAGAGTGGTTAAGTAATGTACAATGAGCCTGACATTCCCCCCCACCACCTCCGGATCACGGGAATCTGTCGTTCCCAGGCACTGCCTCGCTGTGATGGACTCAGTGAGCGCTCTCAGCGAGCTTGACACGTGAAAAACAGCAAATAAAAAACAAGTTCAAGGAAACAATCACAAGTTATTAGCGGCACCGAGTCCTTAAACAGAGCTCGGAGCACAATCCAAGCTCAGCGCGGCACTTCGGAGCCGTCAACTGCTGTCACCGTCCATCTCCACGAGCAGCCACAGCTTAATTTCATTTACTCCTCAAGTGGCAGGCCCAGTCATTTCTCAGGATCAGCGCCTGTTTTTCCTGACTGATTCGTCTGGATCCTTGTCACGGGTCGTTAACACTCGCTGCTCCTAAAGACTCCACCTGCCGGAGTGGATCAGAGTCGCTGAGGGGGAAGCGCCGCCGCCGCCACCGACACGGTTTGTTTGTTCTTTCCTACCAAGACACGATTTGTTTGTTCTTTTCTCCCTGCAGGTCGTGGCCTACCACTACTGCCAGGCCGACAACGCCTACACCTGCCTGGTGCCCGAGTTCGTGCACAACGTGGCCGCCCTGCTGTGCCGCTCCCCGCAGTTCGTGGCCTACCGGGAGCAGCTGCTGCGCGAGCCCCACCTGCAGAGCCTGCTCAGCCTGCGCTCCTGCGTCCAGGACCCCATGGCCTCCTTCCGCAGGGGCGTCCTGGAGCCCCTGGAGAACCTGCACAAAGGTATGGTGGTGGTGGTGGGGGGTGTTGATCGCCCCGAGCTCCCACCAGCCTTGCGTTTTCGTGTCGTTCTGACGTGGGGTCGCGTCGGGGTGTTGAAATGAAGCGGTGGATTGATCCCGCTGCGACGCTCTGAGAGCTGCAGGGAGGGGGTGGGATCTGAAGAATGATAGAATTTTGGTTGGAAGCAACATTAAAGACCACCTTGTTGCACCCCCCTGCCACGGGCAGGGACACCTTCCACTAGCCCAGGTTGCTCCAAGCCCCGTCCAGCCTGGCCTTGGACACTTCCAGGGATCCAGGGGCAGCCACAGCTTCTCTGGGCAACCCGTGCCAGGGCCTCCCCACCCTCACAGGGAAGGATTTCTTCCTAATATCCCATCTAACCCTGCCCTCTGGCAGTGGGAAGCCATTTCCCCTTGTCCTGTCCCTCCAGACCCTTGTCCAAAGTCCCTCTCTGGCTCTCTTAGGTACTGAAAGGCTGCTACAAGGTCACCCCAGAGCTAAACCCTAACCCAGAACCCAGTGGTCCCTTCCAACCTGACCCGTTCATTCTGTGTGATTCTGTGGTTGTGTTTGATGAGAAGCCAGGGGTTAACCAGCCCTCTTCTCCTCACGTGCAGGGCTGTGGAAGAAACACTTACCTTTCCCTTTTCTTGCCTCCTTCCATGTCCCAAACCTGCCCTCACGGTTCTGAAGGTGAAAACAAGCAACAATTTCCATGCACATTGGTGGTTACAGCAACATGTTCTGATTTAGTTGTGTGGGGGTGACTTTTTTCCCTTTCCCTGCCACTCTTTAGTGGGCTTCAGAGAATTTGAAGCTTTCACCAAAGGGCTGATACCATAAAAGTCGATAGACACCCTCTGTAAAGCTTCTGGGGGAACTGGTGACAAGCCTTATCCTGATTACAGAGCTTTTTTCTAATGCAGCATTGATTTTGTCTTCTTTTCTTTCTTCCCTCTGCAAGTTATAAGTAATTCATTGTGACAATTGCTAAATTTAAGATCTTTGCTGGTTGCCATGAAAACTGTCAGAGCCTTGCAGAGTTCAGGACTCTGTTGTCCTGCAGAATGATGTTTATCACCGTGGCTGTGCTGCATCTTGGCTGCAAAAATACTTCAGATAATTTTGTTACCACCCTCCACTCCACAGCGGAATAGATGCAGATTCCAACATGGAATAGATGCAGCTTCTGCCACATTCAAAGCCCTGATGTTCAGATCAGCTCCTCAAAACTGTGCCCAAGCTCTGAGCAGCAGCAGCTGGGTCTAACCCACCTGGTTCCAGCAGGCACAAGGCACACGTAGAGCCCACACAGCACGACAGCACTTGGTTTTCCTGGCATGGAGAAATGTCACTGTGGGAGGAGCGTGGCTGCTCTTTCCTACCAACACTCCTGGCAAAAAAGAACAAAGAAAAAAAAAAGATACATTTAAGGAACCGCTGCTCTAAAGGAAAATAATTCCTGGTTGTTACAGGAGCTCCTTGGGAGGTACTTGAATTCCAGCCCTTTAATTCAGAGCTTTGCAGAGGATGCTTATTTTATTTTTTTTTTGCCAGGCAGGTTGACCCCCAGCTGGTCCTAAATTCCGAAAAATTTTATATAAAACCTTATTTTCTTTCCTCTTGGGCTCTGCACTCAACACAGCTGCAGCGGAGCAGGACTCCCATCTTTCAACCTTGCTGGTCCGGAGTGCTGGCAAGTTCATTTGCACCAAGTGTTCTCCAGCAAGATGAACAGTGTCTGGAAATTGGTTTTAAGATATATAACATTTAAGACTCTGTAAATATATCAGCACGTCTTTTACAAGGTGCTGTTGAAGCTTTAATGCTACTGGGACGAAATTATTGCGCAGCTGTTAATGGTGAGCGTCACTGAGAAAGATTCATGTTTCTCAAATATATATGTAAATATATATTTTTAATGACAAGGAAGCTAAATAATACATAGGAGAACAAAGTTCTGATTCTTCCCCCCACTCCCTGCTTTCTCCTCTCTCCCTCAGGCTTTATGAGGAACATGAGATGTGGGCATAAAACTCAGGCACTGCATTCACTCCAAGATTTCAGAGAGGCATAAAGCGAATTTTCTAGTGTACCCAAAAATCTTGCTGAGAAGTTAACTGAGAAAGCATCTAGGGTTGACTTTATGCAAAATATGTGTTCTTCACAGGGATATTTACAGTATATTAGGAAATAAGTGCAGCTTGTTGACGTAAGGCAGGGACAGCAGCACCGAAGGCGAGGTGTTTGCGCACGTCTGTTCTCCTGGAACACCCCAGGGGCCACGGGCTCCGTCATCATTGAACACTCTGTGCTGGGCTTTCACAGCAAATTTCCTGATGCAATTGAAAGCCAAAGAGAAAAACTCACCTCCTGTTGGGAATACTGAGCTCTGTGACAGCAGGATTTATCCATTGCACCAACAGCAGACTCAGACGTCCCATTTGCCACCTGGTTTGGAGTTTATTAGGCAAGGTTACCTTGGAGAAGATGCCACCTGAGCTTAAGATACAAGTCCAGAAGTATCTGTATCATCAGTTGTAAGGCCACACCCAGCTCTCGGTGTCTGCCGTGGAAACACTGACTGCACTCTTTGCACCACCTGGGTTACTGTATCCTCCAGCAGCCAAAAAATCCTGTTTAAAACGTCCACAATTTGCTTTTTGTAGGATTTTCAAGGCCATATTGGACCTGGTCTGGTGTTAGGTGTCCCTGCCCACGGCAGGGGGGTGGAACAAGATGACCTGGAAAGGTCCCTTCCAATATGCAATTAATGTATCCTGAAAAAGGTGCTGCTGTTGTGATTTTTTTTCTTCTTCAGCAATATCTGGTGATGCTTTCAAACACTGTGATGACTTAGCAGTACATTATGGTCGTGTGTCTGTAGTCTTTCCAGTAAATGCCCTTTTTCTTTCTTTCAGAGAGGAAGATCCCTGATGAAGATTTCATTATACTAATTGATGGTTTAAACGAGGCTGAATTTCACAAGCCAGATTATGGAGACACCATAGTATCATTCCTGAGCAAAATGATTGGAAAATTTCCTTCCTGGCTGAAGCTGATAGTGACAGTCAGGACAAGTCTACAGGTATGATGAGACCCAAAACAGTGATAAATTGTGTCATTGTCATGATGGGCTTAGGTAAAGATGAATGTCTGGATTTGCTCAAGACCCTTGATTTCACTTTATCCTTTTGGCTTCTTAATTTTTGGATTTACATCCATGTCCCCAGACTCATTCTGCAGCCTTGGATGGATCTAATCCAGCATTGCTTTTTCACGTCAATAAATGTTCATCAGCAAATGGTTGAGATCATTTTGTGACACAGCTCACATGCCAACAGGCTGTAACTCACTGAACCATTAGGAGGGCAGGGCCTGATGTCTGTCAGCTTGTGCAGCTCGAGAACATCCTCTGTTCCATGTGGAAGAGCAGAGGAATTCAGATTTCATACCCTGAGTGTGATCATTTCAGTCTGGAGGAGTGAGTGCAGGCCAAGACATTATTCAGCTCAGAAGGACTGTGGTGAGCAGGTGCTGAAGCTCTAAGCTGAGTGTTGTTTGGGTTATTCTTCAGTGGTTTTGGTTTAGTTTGCAGCTGGGCAGGTTTTTACCTTCAGCCTGTTCATCGTGACTCTTTTGGCAGAAGGATCAAGCTGAACTTAGTTTGTTGGCTCAACTGCTCATCTGAACAGAGGGAGCTGGGAAGCAAGCACGGTGACCCAGCTGGGGCAGATCTGCTCTTTCGAGGTTTCTCAACAGAGCTGCTTGATTTGCACCATCCCTGATGGGAACATTCCCACCGAGCATCCGAGCCTGGAGCCCAGAGGAGGCAGAGGCAGCAGGATGGGACACACATTTGGGAACCAGCTCTGCAGCTGGCCTGGCTGCTCCGGGCAGAAAGGCCTGTCTGCAGCTCTCTGGTTCTCATTTTTTCATTATTAGTCATTTCTTCATTAGCACAGAGCCGTGGAGTTCATTTTTAACGAGCTCCATTAAGCAGTTTCACTGAGATTTGCTAATATTTACTGAGATCTGCAGATTGATTCACTGTGGCCTTCCTGGCAGGGAGCTGAGTCTGGTTCCAGCCCCAGCAGGGCAGCCAGACCCTGCACACTGTCCTTGTCACTGGGAATGGCAGCTGCTTCCCCAGACCCAGGAGAGCACAGGATATCTGTGCAGATATGCTCCCCAAGATCCAGGAGAGCACAGGTCTCTCTGCTGGACTGTCTGCTCCCCAAGATCCAGGAGAGCACAGGATATCTGCTGTCTGGAGTCTGTTTTTTGCTCAGTAACGCAGTAGATTAAATATCATTTGAAAGAAATCTTTTTTTGTAATTGTGAGCAAATTGCATCCTGCTGGCTTGAATTCCTCATTTAATTAGGGTTTTTGCAGCCCTGTGTTCTTCACTGCTGCTTTTCTTCGCCCTGTGCTCTCCTTTATTTTCTTGGAGAGCTGATGGCTTCTCTGGAGTCTGCCTTGGCTTCTTCAGGTCTGTTGCATCATTTCTTTTCTCCTCACAGTGGCTGAGAGCCTGTGAAGGGCTTTGGAAAAGCCTTTGATGATCTTTGGTTTATTTGAGGAAGCATCATCAATGAGTTCAGCCAGTGACCATTCCCTGGGTGCAGCATCCCTCAGCAGACAGACGTGGTCACTTTGCACTGGGAAATACTAATTATTATCTATCCTGGTGTTTCCATGCACCCATGGATGTGGGATGCAGGAGGATGCTCTCAGGGATGTTCTTCAGCTTCAGCAAGTTTTACTGTGGCCTCAGAACTGTCATCTGGCTGTCCATTCCCTCTGACTGATCCGTGGTTGGGAATAACAGGGGCACTGCACTGTGTGGATTTGCCAGCCCTTTCCATGGATGTGGTGTTAGGAAATATCCTTCATTTTAATTTCAGTCATGTTTCACACACAACCTACTTGATTATAGATGAGTCTGAGGTCCTGAGGGCACAAACTGCCAGTCGTGTGCTTGCCCTGATGGAAGGTCTTAAAGGAGTCTCAGAGGTGCCATTGTAATAGAAATTAAATGTGCTTAATGAATAAGAAACACAGCATGAGTGTCTTTTTTTCTTTTCTTTCTTTGTAGGAAATAATTAAGCTGTTGCCCTTCCACAGAATATTTTTGGATAGACTGGAAGAGAACGAAGCCATCGACCAGGACCTGCAGGCTTACATCCTGCACCGGATCCACAGCAGCTCGGAGATCCAGAACAACATCTCGCTCAACGGCAAAATGGACAACACCACGTTCGGCAAACTCAGCTCTCACCTCAAGACCTTGAGCCAGGGGTCCTACCTGTACCTGAAACTCACTTTTGATCTCATAGAGAAAGGATACCTGGTGCTAAAAAGCTCCAGCTACAAGGTGGTGCCCGTGTCCCTGTCCGAGGTGTACCTGCTGCAGTGCAATATGAAGTTCCCAACACAGTCTTCCTTTGACCGGGTCATGCCCCTCTTGAATGTGGCAGTGGCTTCTCTGCACCCATTAACAGACGAACATATTTTTCAGGCCATTAATGCAGGTAACATTGAGGGCACTTTGGAGTGGGAGGACTTTCAGCAGAGGATGGAGAACCTTTCTATGTTTCTTATCAAACGTAGAGATATGACGCGAATGTTTGTTCATCCCTCTTTCCGAGAATGGCTTATTTGGAGAGAAGAAGGTGAAAAGACCAAGTTTCTTTGTGATCCTAGGTAAGCAAACGCTCTGAGAAATCAGAGCTGACACAGGTGTTCATCTCACACTGTCACCTGAATCATTTCATTTCCCAAGGTTGCGCGTGGTTCGTTTACCTGACTTTGCCGTTCTCGAGATCTGTAAAGATCACCCGAGATCTTTGTGTTGTTCACTGGAAAGAAATAAGCCCCCCTGGGCACACAGCTGACCTGGCAAACCCAGCAGTCATCTTCAGAATGAGATGAGCTGTTCCTCAGAAGGCCCCTGGTGAACTCCCTCAGGTGTCACCGGGGCCAGGCTGCTCCTGGCAGCTCAGTCTGGAGAAGGGGAATCATCCTCCCTTTCTCCAAAGGTATCAAAACCACATGAAGTGGAGGATAAGGAGATGAAAGATGTGGATATGTCTTTTGCAGTTGCCTTCTTTTTCAAGTTGTGTTCCCCGTGGTCCTACTGAATGTCTATTTGAAAACAAAATAAGGAGCAGGATTGGGCTGTAGTGATTTTGGCGTGTAAATGCATCTGTAATCTCTGTCCTGACAGCAGCTGAATTCCTGGCTTAGCTCTCAGGGAACAGAATTTAATCACAGTTGGATTTATATTCCCTAAACCCAATGATCATTATTAACAGCATTATCTTTGTTTCTGCTGAAGAGTGGAAACAGACTCTGACTGTAACTTTATCCCCACAAGCTTTGCTCTGTTTTGTCCACCCATTTCTTAAAATATGATTATAAAAATCAGGGAAACACTGGGATTCAAGGCTGTGTCAGTGCCTCTCCCAGACCTGATGGTCCCTCTGAAGATAGTCTGATGGTATTTGCTGGAACTGGGTGGCATCTGGCTGATCAAAGCAGCTGTGGCTGTTAGTGGTGTCAGAGTAATTTACCTCTTCAAATTTTGAGGTAAACAGGCTGCAGCAGAAAAACACTAAATAGCTCCTCCCAACGGGCATCTTCGTGGTTTTAGTAGGTTCTGACAATATTCCTGTCGAGTGAGCCCTTTGTAAAGCATCTCACAGCAGCAGGTACCTTTAGATCAGTCAGTGAGTTGTTTAATACCCTTCCTCGGAGTCATTAAGTGCTTGTCACCACGTGATGCTGTTCCACCCTGTCTGCAGTGTCTGTGCAGTGCTTACACCTGTGGAGCTGAGAGCTTTCTGCCTCCCAGTCACTCCCTCCTGGTGCTACTGGTGTTGTCTGGCCTGGCTGTGAGAGCTTGTTATCAGCTGGGTGAGGGGACAGCCTGGCAACTACCACTGATCACACAGCACCTGCCAGAATGGTCCCTAAGGAGAGAAACTGGGAAAAATCACTGCTTTCCATTGTTACCATGCACATAGAATCAAGGTGCAGGATGCTTCCCTGGTGGCTGAGGCTCCCCACAGGTGTTGGGTGCTGTGGGTGGTACCCGTGGGTGCAACCAGGTAGCGTGGGGATTGTGGTTCTCTGAGTCCAGGAACTCTCTTCATCCTCACAGCAGTGGGAAAGGGCACTCTCAGAACACCAGACTCAGAAAGGAACTCAAATGTGCAGCATTTTAGGTGGTTTCACACTGAAACCAAGCGTCCAACCACATGTGATTTTATTGGGAAGGCACAAATCCACCCCTATCCACTCAACAAGTCACCAGATAGTTCTCTGCTCAGCAGAGGTGGTTTTGCTCTGAAACCAAGTATGCAGCCACGTGTGATTTTAGCACAAAGGCATAAATCTGCCTGTTTTCACTCGACAAGTCACCAGATGAATTTCTGCTCAGCGTTCCAGTTTGGTGCTGCCTTTCCTGAGCGTCACAAACACGTCGCGCTGCCCTCAGGACCATTCTGGGGATTTTCAGGCATTACTTTTCATCCTATATGTGCCATTATTGTGAGAAATTAATGGTGACTGTAAAGCTTATGGGGACCACTGTGCAAGCAGGGAATCCCTGCAGAGCTGACCCAACTTGCCTCCTTCCCGCTGGCAAAAAGAAGTTGCAGCGCATCAACAGGCTCCCGCCGCCGTGAGCACGAGCCCGTGTGTAATGAAGGATTAATAAATATCTGTCATGTATAATGTGTGCTAATTGCATTGTGCTCTGATGGTGGCTAATGAAACAGGATACAATTCAGTGATTAATCAAGAGGGACCCCTGAGATTCAGCTCCAGCACTCCTCAAAATCCTCCCGTCCAGCTGATCCCGAGACGCCGAGCTCAGAGCACGGGAACCCTGAGCGACAATCAAGATAAGTGGTGATTTTTCCTTTTTATTTCTCTGGAGAGAAGCGGGGCTGGACACTGACAGAGCTCACAGCAGTAGCCTGCGAAAATTGGCCTGTGTCTGGTTTGTTCACAGCCAGCTTGATTTCTTGGGAATTGAGAAGACGTGACAACTGTCCGGAGCGCTGCCGGGGTTGGTCGTACAGCGTGGAGCTGTTTGCCCTTGCCATGTCAACACATGAAGAGTCAGGTTGCTGAGCTGATGTTTTTCCCCACGAGAAGAGCTGTGAAGTGAAATGTGGGTTTGTGAAGCTGCTTTTAATTGACTGACCCTGACAGAGTGTCCAGGTGTGAGGCCCTTACGAAGGAAATTGGGATAATGGGCCTCGTGTCCCTGGAACTGCTGCTGGGATGATCTTCCTTGTTTCATTAGTGAGAGCGAGTTCTCATGTTGTCAGAAGCAGGGAAAAGGGGGGAGGGGGGAGGAAGAGCACGATGTCCGGGAATTATCCCATTTTTCCACACTTTTAAGATAAACAGCAGATCTCCATCCTCTGGGTTTTTGGTTGACCCTCTTCTTTGAACCCTCACCATGCCCTTGCTGTCCAAAGCAAAGCCTAATTGGCTCTGAAGGGGAGTTCTCTCTGCCAACCCCCCTCAGCCCCCTTTGTTGTTTAACACAGGACACCAAGGAGGCTTTGTCAGAGCATTTAACCAGCATTGCAGTAACGACCTCCCCAGCCTGTCAGGGCAGCACCGTGAACCAAACGGCCTCCTTGACAAATAACATAAAACATTTTAGGGAAAGACCCAATCCTTTGTGACTGGTGCACCAAGAAAATGGTTCTGATTGCACGTTCCCTTTCGCACTTGTGTTTCTTAACCTAAATTCTGCTCTAACGTTGTGCTGCTGTGCAGATTTAATCAGAAACTTCCATGCAATTATTTCCCATGCTTTTACAATACTAATAAAATGTTTTATCCCTGTGCTGCTGCTGAAGGGACTGTGAGGGAGGCAGAAGTGATCTGCCCTGGCAAGGCAGTAGGAGAGCTGTAGTCAGATATGGACCCCAAAAGTAAAATTACTTTATCCAGATTTAAGTATCAACATCTGAGTTACTTGTCTAGACGTGCTTTATAGTCAGAGGAGAGAAATTAGAGTGATTCATTTCATCCTGAGCTAACAGGCTACAGTAGGTCAGAGCAGGAATGCCTGGGAAGCATCTCCAGCTGATTTATGAGGGATCTCGGGGTGATGGGCTCCCCAGGAGATGTCTCCAGTTTTGACAAATAAAGCTGGAGGAGATGAATCTCTCCAGCCTGCTCAACACACAGGGGTTTGAGGTAGAGTCACAGATTTTCTTTCCTTGCACAGGAATGCTAAGGAAGGAAAAAGATGCTCCAGGAAGATACTCTCAGTGCTGTTGCCTGTATGTGAGCTTCTCAATTTGGGCTTTTGCATCTCAGGGTGGCCATGGAGCACTCAGTGCTGTGTGTGCTGGTGGTGGTGGCTGAGGAAACAGGCTCTTAGTGCTGCTTGGGCATGTCCCAGCATCCATGGGATCACAGCAGGATGAAGCATTTTAGATCTTCCCCTCGAGTGCTTCACCCCTGGCATGGTGAAGCCAAGCCTTACCTAATTTTAGGTGCTTGCCATCCCCACGTCTGTTCCTCAGCTGGGTGCTCTGGTCTCCTTTGGTCCTCGAAGCAATTCATCCAGCCTGTTTTAGCTGTGACTGGGATGAGCTGAACCTCATTACCTGTTCCCCTCTGCTGCCTGGAGGACAGTCCCTGGACTCCAGGGCCACCTGGCTATGGACACGCTGCTCTGGGGAGGTGACCTGTGCCAGGCTGGAACTCGGAGGAGATGGGAAGCTGCAGAGGTGGTGCCTTCAGAGGAGGTTTGCTCCTGTTTGCTGTTCTTTTACATGGTAAAGGCTCTGCTCTGCTTCTGGCTCCTTGTACCTACTCTGGATTTACCATCTGATGGGCACAGCAGCTCATATTTTACCTTCCATAAGAAGAGCAAGAGCGGCGAGGACGGGAGCCACCAACGCGACGGTGGAGGAGAGTCTCCAGTTGGAGAACTTCAGGAATATCCTGCTACCCACAGGACATTTTCACTGCATGGAGGTGCTAGGCTGTTCTCATGGATCCTACAGATGAGGTGTTATTCTGGAACCCCAAAACTCTGTGTCTGGGCTTCCAGAAGAGCTGAGTGCTCAGGTGTGGAGATACCCAGCAGACTTTTGGCATCTCTCAAAATCAGGGTGTTGGTGCCTCGTTGAGCATTGGCACCACTGGGCTGATGCAGCTGTGAAGCCCAAGCTTGGAAATCCTGTCTGAGGAATCAATTCTCTGCAGTAAATATTCTCTTCAGTGCACCAAGACTTTATCAGGCAGCTCCTGCTCGTGGAATTTTGTAGAAAAAAAATCTAAAAATCAGGGATACATCACCAAAAAATTAACCAGGGAGAAGTACTGGTGGCTCGATGGTTGAGGGCATCTCCTCACCTCTTCCCTCCTTTTCTGCATCCGCAGTCTGTCCCTGAAAGCCCAAATCAAGGCACCCTGAAGGGATTAACACGCAGAAGGATGCAGCTCTCCTCCACCACTCGAGTTGCCATGGTTTCTGCCAGAGCTGTCTTTTAGTACAATACTCTCTAGGCATTTTGCATTTCCCTTTTTCTCTCAGGAGCACGTTGCAGGTGGAGACTTTTCCTACACAAAATTAATGTTTTTATGTATTACCCAGAAAAAGGATAGAGTGAAGGAATTAGAGGAAAATCAGGGATTTTTGTTTAGTTTTGGTGGAAGGATTG